CGTCCAGAGCGCCCGGCCCGTGCTGATGCCCCGCGGGCGCCCGTCTTCACTGCACACCTGCCCTGGGCACAGCGGGGTCCCTGCGGTGGAGAACCCCAAAAGGCATGGAGGGACAGGACTCCAGGGCGTGACAAAAGCAAGGCAGAGCCCTGCTGCGGAATTCACCATGTGCAGACTGAGCTCCTCCGGGTCCCAAGCGAGGGTGCACGGCACCCTGGATACCGAGCTCCGCACCGCCTCCCTTACCGAAAATAGGCATTTTCTCCGCTTAACACTGAGCCTCACCCTCGTCCTGCTGTGCTCTGCAGTACACGCAGCTGTCAAAGACTGGCCGGCAGGTCTAAGTGTGCGGATGACCAGACTGGAGGCCACCTCAGTCAGACCTCTTCATGCCCAAGAGAACAGAGCCACTCCCTGGATGGGTAGTGGGGAGGCCGGGATTACAACTCAAGCTTCACACAGGGGTGGTGCACGCCCGTCATCCCAGCACTCAGGGGGCAGAGGCGGGAGGAGGATCGCTGTGAGTTCAAGGCCAGCCTGGGCTACACACGGTGGAGAACCTGTCTCTGAAAACCAAATTTCCCACCCAGGCATCTTCCCAACAGTATGGTATGTAAGGCCCAGAACCTATCTCTCTAACAACTCCGGTCCGGTTGATTCACACTTAGTTTTCCAGAGAGAGACCCAAAGCCTGAACGTGTATGTGTCTGGGAGGGCTGGGCCCTGAACTCACCTGCTCACCCTCCACCCTCCTGTGGCTTAAACATGCAAAATCACACTGTACACGAACAAAGGTAATTCCTAAAAGGCATCACTTAAGATCTTGGCTAGGTAAAAATTTTCACTTTTCTTTTTTGTTCTGTTTTTCATGTAAACCTATTTGTATTTTCCTAAAATAAGCCGTGCTTTGGCAGATTTTAGATTTCCCCCTCAACCACAGGCACTATTCAGTTTCCATGTCCTTGGAGTGTTTTATCTGGGGATTAGACAACTGTACCCAAACACAGCTGTTCTAGTTTTTTCTCCTTTATTTTTCACATTAAAAAAACTCCCAGTATCAACCAGCCCAATTAGTTACTCACTATCAAAAGCCAGCTCCGGTCTTTCATCTTGCAGAGAACTAGATCCAAGTGACAGGGTGTCATGGAAACTGTATCTTGGGTCATTTCCTGTTTCAATTGTTTAGTCACCCAAAAAAAAAAAAAAGTTCTGCACTATCAGATGGAAATTAATGAATACTTGCTGTTGCCTTTTGAAGAGCAGGTGACTCAATAAAAAGTAATTGTCCCTTTTGACCAACTTTTCCCACCATCACCAGGGAATACAGGGTGATAAGCACAGCCCAAATGGGAAACCAGACCCGCAGTGACTGAGGTGGGACCTAAGGGTGTTTTCGCTGCCCAGTCCATGATGCAGGGTCAGTTCCAAGGCTGCTGCTGGGGTTGGGGAAGTGCAACTAGAGGAAGCAGGCTGGGTTGTAGTGCACCTGATTCATACACTTCCACTTAGGCAACTTTCAACCTCATCTATTCTCTCTCCCCCAGTGTTGTCATGAACTGCAGAGCTAATATTTCCCTTTCAACAAGAAATGTTCCTAACACAAAAGAATGTTGAAACAAAGATTGTAACCCAAAATAAAAGATTTCTTTGCAAACAAAACGTGTGCACACACGTGCATGTGCACAGACACACAAACACACACACATGGAAAAGTAGCCTCTCCAGCCTGTAACCAACAGTCGGCAGGCCCATGTGCTTGGGAAAGGAAGTCCTGGCTGGAACGGAGTAGAAAAAGCCCCTCAGGGCTCTTTGAAGGCTGGGTGAGGCCTTCCCCTATCCTGAGATGTTAGCATCTTAAATTGTGACTTTGCAGTTTGACTCCAGAGGGCAAGAGAGGCATGACTGGTGGGTTTGGGATGGGTGGGGGACTCGGGTCACTTCTGATCACAGCCCATTGGCCACCACTGGTCATGTGGTCCCACAGCTCCCACCTGTGCATGCCAAGGATGGGAAGGGAGCCACACAGGCCAGCGGAGAACTCACCCAGTGAATTCTGTCTGAAAATCAAAAATCAATTCTGGAGCTCAGGAGGATCTGTTCAACTAAGACAGCCTTGAAGGGCACCTCACAGAGCGGGGTCAGAGCCCCACTGCAGGAACACCCTACTCGGAATACTTCTGTCCTGATGAGGTTATTTACACCTTCCCTGCTCAAAACAAGAAAAAAAAATCTGTATGCTTCTTCTCCTTAGCCTTAAAAAAAAAGGAAACAACTGGGAAAACATCCAAAAAATATATAAACCTTATAAACAAAGTCTTATATGACGTACCCAGCCTGCTGTTTGAAGAATTTCTGTGAAGAAGAAATGTGAAAGGAAAAAAAGCATCTTTTAGCAATGATACCTGATTCCTACGTGCTTTATCTACGACTGAGTCACTGTTCTTTTTAATCGGTGCCAGCAAAAAGGGGCCAAGCTTGTCCATGACTTCTCTCCTGCTGACGCCCTCCCACCTTATGCTCTTTGCTCAAAGCAAAGAGACTGGCTTTGCTGAGTTACAAAGGAAGATGGAGAACTGGAAACCACTTCTACCGCTTTCCTGTTAGCCTTCAAGGCAAGCAGAATATGCACTGTTCTTCACCTTTCAGGGAGAAAGCCCCTCATTTGGGAGAAGGTCCCACTTCCCAGGTATCTGCACCATGCTCGCCACGGTCTGTATGGGCACAAAACACCGGAAGTAAAGGTAATTTAGCTGGAGTGATTTTTCCTAGAAGTAATTTCTAGAAATCACTGAGATATTATTTTCTTACAGAAGATGTAGTTAAAACATGGAATTAACTGCTGAAGGCATCAAAACTAAAAAGCACCCATTAGTACACAGAGGAAGTGAACCCAGACTAAGACAATCCAAGAGCACAGCCACCAACCAGGCCTCTAGGCCTCTCCATCCTGATTGGCGAGGCTGGGCTTCCTCAAGAGAAAGATCCACAGAGCAATGTCACAGCAGCAAGGCTGGGTGGAGAACTAAGAGGTGAGAAACAGCCAGGTCATTTTCATACTCGGGCCACAGCTCACTGTTTGCCTTTTAATTTCTTTCCCAGAAACTATGATGGTAATGAGCCGATGACACTTTTTATTTGTTAAAACGCAGCAAAGGGAAAAAAGAATCTTAATTTTTGAGAGCTCAGTAATATTTGAATTCTAGTAAACTCATACTATTTGCATAAGAGGCTCGTTCTTGTCATGCATGTATTCCATATTGGAGATCCCATATTGGCTTTTATGAAATTTAATTTTGCTCGGTTTCCATGCCCAATCCAGGATACCACTCAGAGCATAGGTATTTATGAGACACCTTCAAGGCCAAAGAAAAATGCCAGACACTTGGTCAGGGACCAAGGTACCCTGGGAAACAGATGTGAGGGCTGCCTGCGGGACTTCCCAGGCTTCCTTGCAGATAGCTGGACCACATGACCAGTGGTGGCCAATGGGCTGTGATCAGAAGTGACCTGAGTCCCCCACCCATCCCAAACCCACCAGTCATGCCTCTCTTGCCCTCTGGAGTCAAACTGCAAAGTCACAATTTAAGATGCTAACATCTCAGGATATGGGAAGGCCTCACCCAGCCTTCAAAGATCATTAGCTACACAGGAAGTGTGGAATCACTGACACAAGATGATTTTTTCCTGACCACAGCCCTTCCTGGGTCAGGAGTTCCTAGCTTGTTTTGTGTCACAGACTTCAGGCACTGTGCAGTCAAGTACACAACTCTCTTCTCAGCATCATGTATAAATGCATAGAATAAAACACACAGAGTGAAGAACTGTAAGATGCTTCACATGGAAGTACTTCCTCATTAATATATTAACCCGTAAGATCTAAGGGTCAAAGGACTGCTGTGATTTCAAAGCAAGAGTGTGTAACATCACATCACCTGTGATGCCCATGATGAGACACTAAGTATCTGTTTTAGTGACCAAATTCTAGGTGCTTCTGGTAACACGATGTTGTCTGCATCACACAGGGAGAACTGGTAAATTTCCATTTGTGGCTGCTGTTATAATTATGTTTCATACCAGGTTCCTAGACTCGCTAAAGTAGGATGTAAGGAACGCATGTCCTTCCAGAGATTAAAATGCCTTTTTAGAAATCATTTTCATTATTACTTGGCGGCAGTGAGGGATTGAACGAAGAGCCTTCAAGGCCAAGCTTATCCCCAGTCCATTCTGGTTTTTTTTTTTGTTTTTTTTTTTTAGACAGGGTCTCACTATGTAGTTGAGACTAATGTGGAACTCACTATGTAGTCCAGGCTGGTCTCCGAACTCACGGTGATCCTCCTGCCTCTGCCTCCCAAGTGCTGGGATTACATGCATGAGCCACCGCGCCCGGCTTGCATTTTCTGTTTTGAGGCAGGGTTTTGCTAAGTCGCGAAATTGCCAGGCTGGGCTGAAATTTGTGATCCTCCTGCCTCAACCTCCCACAGCGCTAGGATTTAAGGCAGGGGCCACCACACCCAGCTGGAGTGCAATGCTAAGGAAGCCCAGCTGCCTTCAAGGCAATGGCCAAGAACAAAGCACAACCGGCCTGAGGGATTGGTCAGGCCTTTGACAGCATCATCGCCCATTCGGCAAAACCCACCAGTAGCACACAAAGAGCAGCTGGTGTGCCGCTCTGCAGGCAACTTCTCACGCACACACGGGCCCTGCTGAGAAGGAACAGGGTCTCGACCTCGGCGGGTCACCGCTGCTCTGGGACGGCGTCCCCACCCACTGCATCCCTCTGTTTCAGAGTGGGCAGTGAGGATAGGTCCAGTGTCCATCAGCAGAAATCACCACGCTCCCACAGGCCTCGCCGACCCAGCTTGATGTCCCCAGCGACTCAAGCACATGCGTCTGGCTGACAGGTGAGGTGACATGGAGGCAGAGGGCCAGGGACCCAGGACAGACCTGAAATGAAGCTGTAATAAACTCTGCGGTCAAGGCGTGAGGTCCGGAAAGCCAAGGCCTGGAACGACCTCGCCTGACATCCCACCGAGAGATGGCACAGTGGCACTGGACCAGATGCCAGGGGCCTGGGCTTCCTGTGGGTCCCATCACCAACCACTACAAAAGGCCACCTCACTTCCAGTTTCAGATCCTTCTTCTTTCGAGAGAGGAGATCAGAGCCAGGCGTGGCAGTGCACACCTGTATTTCCAGGACTCAAGAGGCTGAGGCAGGAGGATTGCCTGGAGTTCAAGGCCACCTTGGGCTACACAGTGAGAGGAGATCAGCTTCCCACATACCTCCTCAAGCAAATTAAAAAAAAAAAAGATTCAGTAAACTGCAGAGATGGCAGGAAGATAGTAATAAAGAGAGATGCAAAGCACTGCTATGGAAATACAATCAATCAGGCATAGACTTAAGGTGGATAGACAAGGATCTTGGCCTCAAGTGGAGAAAACGTAAGGGGACGAGCAGTGCCTGGGGGCTGGGGACACGGTGACTTCACTGCGGCCTGACACTGCCTGCAGGAGGGTGTGCCACCATCCTGCCAGGGTGCTGTGCCACAGACCTGTCCAGGGTTGAATCACGCTGGTCCGGGTGATGTTCCCTGCTGCACTCCGGCTCCACCTTCTCACTCACTAGGCAGCGGGAGAACAGGCCAGACACTGCCTGTTCCTCCTGGGTGCCCTCCCGCCCAGGGGTCTCTTCCTGAACTGCCAACTCGCACAGCCCAGCGCTCACTTCTAGCACAGTCCTCACAGCACTCGGACACGTCCTTGCTTCTCCTGGCCAAAGGCCTCCTCCTCCGCCAGTCTCCCTACTGTCCTTGCCATTGCTGCCTAGGACGCACTCAAGTGAAATTTAAAACTAGCCAGGGCTCTGCGATCTCCCAGCTCACCCAGAGAGCAGATGCAGGCCCATGGCTTTTGTCCAAGGTCCTCGCAGGCAGGAGAGCACACAGTAGGTACTAAATGAACGAACGAACAGAGGCCCAAAGCCCCATCCATGCCTGACCACAGCCCCGCAGCACTATCAGCCTAGGGAGGGAACAGCTCTGCCTTCCAGCACTGCAAACCCAGACTTCTCTGTCTTTACTGCAGGCAATGGGCTGACTACTCCTGGAATCTCAGCACTTTTGAAAGAAAAGTAA